AGAGAGAGAGAGAGAGAGAGAGAGAGAGAGAGAGAGAGAGAGAGAGAGCCTCACTTAAGACAAGCGTTCCATCGGCACTAATCTGCCTCGAGTGCGTTTTGTTCGACGGGGTTTTGCTAGAATCGTTGTGGCGAATGCTTAGTACGCGCAGCGCATGCGAGCGCAAGAGCACCAGCTTTACCACGCTCGCTCAAGGCGGATTCCGATTGTCCGTCAGAAACCTATAACGGCACTGCTATCTATCCCGAAATCCTACGATCAGTGACTGTAAGAAAAGCAACCAGACAACAGGCCGAGCGCAGTACGTACCAAGGCACCTGCCTATTTTCTTGCTAGCCATCTGTTCCCGAAATTATCAAGTCCAAGGAGGCGGGCACGCCAGGACGTCTAGCATGCGTTCACCATCAACCTTTCCGGTGCTCTTGTTTTTGTCGGGACAGCCTTTGTGTTGCTCTGTTCTTGGTTGTTGTGGGGGTGGTGTTGTTCGCCTTCGCCATCATCCACGCCACTTACGTTTGGTGCGGCGTGGGGTCATGCCAGGGTGTCTACCATGTCCCACCACCATTCTTCCCGGTGCTCAGTTTTCAGGACGGCCTTTTTGTTTCTCTGTATTTGGTGGTTCGTTGTGGCCGTCGCGTTCATCCAAGCCGTCATCGGTGTTAGATTTGGTTGCGGCGGTGACTGAACTTTTTTTTTTTTTTGTTTCTTGGCGTTTCGAACGATATGTCGGGCTTCTCCTCTGGCGATGCAGGCGAGACGAGCTAGGATAGAGGCGCGGAGACGAGCGAGACTCAGCAACAACGGAAGCAGTCCAAGCGGAGTGGGCGGTTGTGGCGAATGATACGCCGCGGTCTCACCCCCCGCCCCCGGGTAGTGGGGGTGATTCCGACACCATCAACAAAAGGCACCTCGACAACGGGAGTTCGCCGGTAGGCGTGTTACAGCGCACAGGCTTTTTTTTGTAACCCGACGGTATTGCGCGATTGTTTCAAGGAGGGTGTAATCACCTTGTGGGTCGGTGATCTCTCCTTTACTTGCTTGCCGTTGTTGGCTGAAAAATGAGGCGTTGTGCAGTCAGAGGCAATTCGCGAGGCTGCTTGAAGGAGGTACATTCTTCACGATATCGGTCGGTGATATCCCTTTCTGCATTCCCGTTGTTGGCCGAGAGAAGGAAGTGGTTGTGTGTTTGGAATTGTTGTTTCGAGGTTGCTTCAAGGAGGGGTGTCCAAGTTGTCGTTCTGTGATCTCCCGCCCTTCCTCCCTTATCATTGTTGCAGAGAGGAAGCGGGGAGCGGCGTTGTAAAATTATATGCCAGGTTGGTTCGATTAGGTGTCGTCAAGTTACCTGTCGATGATCTCCCTGTGCTTCCTTGGCGTTGCTGGGCATAGAGAAGCCATAGTGATCCCTCGCTTCCCAGGTGCAGCGCAACTAAGGCGAGTCCCGCGCTGTAAATAATACAATGGAAGCGACTATACCAAGTTCCGATGCTACGCGATACTTTTTTTTTTTATGGTGCAATTTGGATACATCAACGGCGCAGCCGTCTCGATGTTTTTTTTTCAGTTGTCCTGATTTCCGTCTTCTGTGTTGCTTTAGGAGGTCGTTGTGGCTCGGCGGGCACCGAGCTTGCCTGTTTTACCCCGAAATAGTGAAGGCGGACTTCATCAACCGGATGCCTGCGCATTCATCGTAATAGACCGCACGACGGTGCTCTTGTTAGCGCTGCCTCAGCCCATCCTTCATCGAGGCCCAAACTGGAGCCTTTGGCAAATATGGCTTATGTTTCTAGGGGCCGGCGCAGGCTTGCATGCCGGAAAAGCAACCACGCTTTCCGCGTAACCAGCCAACACTTGTATGCTGTATCGTGCTGCTTGTCCTATGGGTCGCAGGTAGTGGTACTACGTTTGTTGTTGTGGTTGGTGTTGTGTAGACATTTTCGCTTTTTACCTACGCCCAAATTGATTCTACCCCTCACGAGGAGTTCATCTGTCTCAGCAAGAAAGCCGTCGGGTCATGGACCGGTTTATCATTGCTCGGCTAGACTACAAGTATGATATCCATGCGGAATGTTGACTGCTAAAAGGGCTAACCCTCCGCTCACGTTCGTAGCTGAGTACCGTAGACCGGTTCTTTGGGGCTGAGGATCAGTGTGAACCACGCTTACCTTCATCTGATCTTCACCTTTGGTAATCTCCTTCTCACGTATGCATACGGTAATTGACAAGCAATATGGTCACATGCTGACCACCCCCCGAGGAGGCGTTGATAGTCCGAGCTTCTTCAAAGAAGCGATTGACACGCGGACGGTATCACGCCGATCGCACAGAGCAACAGACCCGGACGAGGCTTGCATGCGATAGAAAGAAAAGTAACGTTCACTCTATGTACGGACTTTTCATCTTCTTTTCCACCTGGGGGGTGTTGAGTACTCACGCCGCTCACGCAGCTTGGGGAGATCAAATGGAAGAGGGGAAGCATGAGGGCGCCGAGGGACCGGACGCCCTCGCCCCGGCGGGATACCACACGACCAACAGAAGTTGTAGTGGCCGGGGTTAACCTCCCGACAAACAGTGCACGAGACTGGGGGCAAAGGTCATCGAAGCCGCCGACGGCTGCCGAGCATCACCGACGCGGCACTGGGGAACACAAAGCGGGGAGCGGCATTGAAGATATATACAATCCATACCAATCGACAACGACACCCGAGGAGTGGCACTTCCCGAAGCTGACATCACTGCCGAAAGTCGGCTTCGTACGCCGTCATCGCCGAAACACTATACTGCGATGGCCGTAGCGAATCATCCGCACGATGCCAATGAAAAACTCCCGACGCGGCCGCCGGGGCTACCTCTCGACGGTCCACCGCGGCGAGGCGCACCAACGAGAACCAGTACTCCTTCCTATCGGGGACAACGTCCACCGCGCGAGCTTTGCACTCGGCGAGATGCTGAACCATGTGGCCGACCATCACAAGCGGCGGGAAATAGAAACCAAACGCCTCTTTTACCGTTCCAGGGACTACGGCAACGTCTCGCGCTAGCACATCCACCCCGGCAGAACCCGGGCAGTCGAAGTGCGAGAAGAACGGCAAAGGGGAGCCAGAGGCCGGCGAACGCTGGGCCGACGCGCTACACGCCATCAGATCTACGTTGAACGGGTCAAGAGCCCCCCACAAGACGCGGAAGGCGTCAGGAGCTAGACGGACCATCGAGTCCCGGGACGGCCGCGAGATGGCGTCTGCAACCCCATTTTGGTCGGTGGAGACTCACTTGAGGGACAAGAGGAAACCGCACTGGACTTGCAGGTCAAACAGCTGAACTAGCAGGGCGTGGGTTTCGCCGTTCTTGGCGCGCCCTCGGGCGAACGCGCCGACTGCTCACGGATTATCCACGTTGATGAGGACTTGGGCACGCCGTAACGCATCCGGGTGGCGCTCGCAGTACGGCCGTAGCATGTGATACAAGGCGTCCATCTCCTTCTGGTTGATGTGTTTCGAGAGCCAATCCGGCGGGAAAACCGCCCCCGCCCTAATAGGCCCGTCCTCGGCGTAGACGATGCCGCCCCGCCCCCCCGACGACGCATCCGAAACGCCTCCGGCGAGGGCAGCCTTGAAGTGACGAGCTTGCTGCCACGGCCCCTCGTGAGTTGTAGACGCGACCCCCAACCAGTGTCGGAGCTCTCCCCGCAAGTCGGCATACTTGTCCCGGCGGAGGTGGACTCCGCTCACGCCGGACTCATCCATCGCCGTGATGGCCTGGAACAGGGCGTGGGCTCACGCGGGCGCCAGGCGAATCGGCACCGTCATGCTCATGCATTTCCCCACGATACGCTGCAGGGTACGGAACGATAGCCATTCGTCATCAAGGGCGGCGCGGATCAGAGCGTGTAACTTGTGGAGCTGGTCCTGGGGGATGTGGAAGGAGGCCATGCCGTAATCACACAGGATACCGCCCACGCCCGCGTCCCAGGCTGGGGCGCGCCAAGGGACGCTCCTGGCGGGCTCGCGCAAGAGGTCGGCGGTAACGTCGGCCCATGTCGGCGGCGATGTTGGGGCCGGCTGAGCACCCGCGGCCCATTCCCGCTCCTCGGCGGACAGGTAACACGGTGTGGAAGGAAACACAGCCAGGACTTGGCTGTGGCAGCGGTCGAGGTCGTGGAACCACTCGCCAGCATCCACCTACTCGGAGGCGGGCAGCAAACGAAGGCCGGGTGAGGAACGCACCACCTCATCGGCGACAAACGGGAGATTTCGCGACTATACCACCGCGCTGCAACGGCACGCGGCAGCACGGGGCGACGCGCGCGAAGCAACCCGAGGTACTGGCGACACAAGCGGTAGGGGAGGAACGGCCAGCGCGTCCGCTCGTTCTCCTCTTGGTCCGGCAACGTCAACCGCGCCCACTACAAGAAATGGCAGGGATGGCGACGAGGGGACGGGACGCAGCATCGCGGCGGCGACCCAGGGCTAGACGCGAGACAGACAAATCTAGGGTTCATCTACTGGGAGCGAAAGGTAATAAAACATCAATGTCTGTGGCGGTGGAGTAGGGCCCCGCCGCCGCCCCACGGGCGCGCGTGGGAATGGGCACGCCGGAACTACCCGCGAGCATCCACCCGAGAGACGGACGAGGCATACATTGGATAGAGGAAGCAGCATCGTGTCTGCGGCGAGGGGCTAGCGACGGAGCAGCCGTGATTCTAGGGTTCACCTACGGGCGAGGCAGACGCCGAGACGATGGTGGCTAACGTTGGATAAAGGACGCAGCATCGTGTCTGCGACGAATAGCTAGAGACAAATCAGTCGTTATACTAGGGTTCACCTACGGGCTAGGCAAACGTCGAACCGATGCCGGGGATCCAGGCGAGCCGTCGAGAAAACTTAACGGGGCACAGAAACACGGCAACGAGACTCCGGGCCATTCCTACGATCGGTCAAGAGACAAACTAGTGCAAGCACACTGTGAATGTGATAGGAAATCATCGCGGCAAGAGTCGCGCGCGTGTCTGTTGTGACGAAGAAACACGAACTGCCGCTCCTCGTGGCGCGGAGAAAGTGCGCACTACGGCGAGGGCCTGGGCAAACAATATACATCGGGCGGCAAACGGGAAAGCGACGAATTCGGTTGCGCCCGCCGCT